AGTCACGTCTCATTTCTGCTTGTATAATTTCTTGATTACTTTTACTCAATTCAAAATAAGTTAGTTGTGATGCCCACATAAACACTAAATTAGGATGGGGTGATAATTTCAATTGTCTTGATCTTACTGAGGGTGGTTAAATCAATATCACAATGTGTCATCACATATATCCAATCACTACTCTAGCTGATTTACTAACACCCACTCTACAATGTACAAAAACTTTGCCGCCAGCACGTTGAGTACGCTGAACAAACTCCATCACTGCTGGCATATGAGCAGATATCCTATCAAGTCCATCATCGGCGTTAAACTTCATGTCCAATACCTCCAACACCACCGGCGCTCCGCACGAAAAAGCGGTAGCGGGGCGGCAGCGGAGCGGCCGCCCCACCCGCGCTTTCCTCCTAGCCTTATAGCGGGGGTTGCGCTTAGCTATAGCTATCTGGGACCCCCTGTGTCACATAGCGGTTTGCCTATGCGCACTGTATAGCGGTATTTCGCTGTGCCCAGAGGCGCCATAGGGCCGCATAGCAAATAAGCGCCTCATAGTGATCCAGCGCCTCATAGTGCCTATAGCGCCTCATAGAAGGTTCTTTCAAAGATCCTTCCGATCGGAAACCTCCCCGGACCACCCTTCTTCAATAGGAAATCCACCTCACCACCTCAATTCCACCTCAACCACACAATCACCATCACAAACCGCCTCAGCCTTCCAATTCGACCTCAACCCTCAAGCACAAAGCAACAATCAGAACACCCCCACACCCAAGTACCCTCAGACATCATGCTGTTGTTTCCCGGCCGATTGGAACCTTTGGCTTTGTTAATAAAAGGTCCTAAAGGTGAGTGTCTCTTATTTCCCTTTTTTGATCATTCATCGATCTACTGTTTGATCGCTGAAGCTTTCTTTTTTGATTTTAATCCCACCCTTACTTTTCTGAATTTTTTAGATATCTTCTATCAACCTTTAGATTATCACTTAATCATGCCTTCATCTGTCAACAAAAACAACACTCAAACTAGTCGAAAATAAATTTGTCTGGTAAAATTTGCAGAGGCTATAGCTTATCTCCGAGCTTATGAAGGTTCTAATACCAAAGCTAAGAAGTCCAAGTAGTTTTTTTCTATATATCTTTCTATCTATTTCTTCTCAATTATACTATCTAAACAAATGACTCAAAAATTCCAAAAAAATGATCGTGTCCTTTTGTTCTCTTTCTATCTTTTTCTTTTGATGTGCGTTTTGTGCCCGTTCTTTTTCTTTTTATCTTTTCTTTGATTGATCGATCTCTCTTGATGAGACCAGCCTTTTCTTTATTGTTTAGTTTCCTACTTTCTTCTTACTCTAGACGAGTCTTGTTATTTTTCTTTCAAACAATTGTGCGCGTTTTTCATTCCTTGTCCGTTCTCAACACTTAAACTATCCCCACTCCTTTGCCTTCAATGATAAAGTAATTGTCGGCCTAATTTTTTTTTTCGCGCTTTTTGCCGCTATCCCGACCAAATTTTGACCATAGCGAAGCGGAGCGGAGCAAGAAGTCGCACTGCTCTAAAGTGCCATAGCGGCTCCAAATCTATAGCGGAGCGGTTTCGCACTAATCCATAGCGCCGAATCGCTCCGCCCTTAAAAATCTCATTTATAGCGGAGCGGAGCGAAGCGCGGTGGTGTTGATACCTCCAACCCACCTTCATCCAATGACGATCATACACTTTCACTCATCAATACAACTACAGCAAATACCCAATGCATGAAGCATTGATGGTTGGCATGAGATAAGTTATCAAGATAAAGAAAAGGGAAGATATGTGAAGGAAAGTGTCCTTCAAAACCATCCTCTGACCAACATGTACCTCTTGAAATCGGATTCACCGCTGGATCCGAAGTTGAAAGTTATCTTTCAAAGTATTGTAAAACAGTCAGATCGGATAGGCAGAGGAAGAATGAACAAGTAGCAAGAAGTTGAAGATGTTGATAAGCGCCAGATCACGGGATATGTTGGCAATAGATGGTATAGGTAAGCCCAAACAGGCTTGTCCCGGTACTAATCAAACAAAAGGTTGTGGTGTAAGTATTGGTGTCAAGAGTAAAGCTATGGAAAATACTGACCAAGGCAATGGACACGGACCCGGTGACCATCACAAGTCACTTTAGCAACTCAAGCACAAAACTCTCAAAGACACCCTGTGCAAGTTGTTCCATAGACATCGAACCAGAGGCTGAACCGGTACTTGGCACTTCTGAATGTGATCGTGGTCTCGTGATAATATTACAGTGGATGAAACAGATGACTGTAAAGAAGTTCAAGATTCAAGAGAGGTGAGGAATAAGCTCTTGAGGTCGATGAGCTTAAGATCCTAGCCGAATCATAACAGATAATCAAGGAGTATTGAGTTTGTCTGCATCTCTCATTGCATAAGGATGAACTTCTAAAAGAATACAATCATTGAATGTAATCTAATTAATACGATAATCGATCGTAATCTATCCAAAACCAAAGCAAAAAAGTACACGATCAATCACAACAATGATAGCTCTTGATGGTGTTTTTGAACAATGACCTAAACCACATTCTCCTATAGCTACTGCTTTTTGTTTTGATCTGTTTAATTTTTGATCAGATTGAATTGACTCTTCAAGCTTAGATTGAATCAATTTTGGGAAAAGATTGTTTGCTTGTTTTCATCGGAAGTGTTCTCAAATTCGTTTGCTTGTTTTCATCGGAAGTGTTCTCAAATTGGTTTGCTCGTTTTCATCAAGAGTGTTGTCAAATTTGTTTCCTCGTTTTCATCGGAAGTGTTCTCAAATTCGTTTGCTCGTTTTCATCAAAAGTGTTCTTGAATTCGTTTGCTCGTTTTCATTGAAAGTGTTCTTGAATTCGTTTGCTCTACATGGGTGAGAACCTATGGTTGCATATAATCCATCTCTACAGCAAGCATCAAAGACCTGAATCAAATCAAATTGATGAATTTGAATGGAATTTAAATAAAGAAATGAAAGTATAGTAGGACCTGAAGGACAATCTCCAGTCAGGATTTGTTTTTCAGCGCCAAATTTTGTAGCTCTTTTAAGCATCATCAAAAACATCTATCAAAAACAATGTTGAATTTAACCATTACTGGATTTTTTGGTGAACTCGCCTGAATGGGTCTGTTGTCCATTAGAAATTCAACAAAAGACTGGATATGGTAAACTTGAACCACATCCGATTGACTCTTTCTAAACAGTAGTAGAAATCAAATCAGTGAACTACCTGTGAAATGGTTTAGTGAGATTGTATGATAACTCAACTTGTTCATGAAGTGTATCAGATTTGATTTGAAGTTGGTTTTGATAATTTGTCAAGTTGAGTGAGACTGAATGAAGTTCTTTGGAGCTTGAATTTGAAGTTGAAGCTGATTTGTTCTGTGGAAAGTCATGATCAATAACTACTTGGATTGAGTGGTCTGATTGGCTGCAAGTGGGAGGATAGTGTGAAGATTGGTAGGTGATGAAAGAATTGATTGGATGAGAGGAATGGGGAACAAATTTGGGGTGAGGCGCGTGGAAATCAGATTAAACGTTGTGAACGTGTAAACCTGGAAATTGGTAGTAGGAATTGGGAGTTTAATCAGGTTTTGCCGGCGAACATGGTTTTCCTTTAACTTGAATGATCCTTGGCGTTCTTGAACATCTTCTCGAGTTCGTCGGCCATGGTCTTGTTGTTGGAACCTGAATCCGTGGTTTGTGCCAAGACCTAGAGCAGAGAGGGAAAATAAGAAAGATAATAGATCAGAAATAGTTAGAAAAAGGTGAAAGAAAGAAAGAAATACAACAGACCTTCTTGTGAAGTCCATGTTTAATCAGGAACTTCTTAACCAGTCTGGCAAGCAGGGCACCACAGTGGTGCCAGGTTGCCAATTTCAAAGTAGGATGGCTCGACCAATACTTCCACTTTGAATCGATCCAAGTTGCGGTGACCCCGATGAAAGCTAGTCGGTTTCCTTTAGTTGTCCATCCGTCGTGGACAAGACAGATTTTACCTCGGTTATCCTGAAGTGAAACAAACAAAGTTCTATTTAGCAAAGAGACGAATGAAATAGAAAACTTGATAAACAAAGCATACCTTGATATTGACGATCAGCTGATCATATAATGAAGTATATAACTCCTTTGCGGTAGTAGCTGCCCACGTTGGGCTCCTGATATCAGCCTTGGGATGGGTGAGGTGGACGGCTGCCCGGAGGGTTGGGTCTTGAAATGGAACCCAAGGAAGGGCATGTCTCAAAAGCCATATGACGAGTAAGACATTGAGAATGTCGATGTTGAAAGGGGGGCGGTGTAGTATTTAAAGCTCAACAAGAGCTTTACAACACCTAAGAAGGGATAATCTACTACGTGTAATATAGTAGAAGTTGCCTAAAGACTGCCTTCTTCAAAGAAACCAGCACAAGGGCACTTGCTGACCACTTTGTGATAACAGAGAAAAAGATAAAGGCACCAGAGAAATAAAGCAATACTGTTGTGTAGTAATATTCCCAGTTTTTAAGCGCAAAAAGTCCACACACTATGTTATTACTAGCAATACTGTTGTTAGGTATTATTCCCAATTTTGACTTATAGTCTTTAACACACGTAAATAAATTTCTCCTTGCTTTGAAGGGGCGGATTTAAGTGATCTTAGTACAAATATAGTAAATAAATGATGATTTATAACACTACAACAAAGGTATAAGATGCAGAAAGGGGAACAACAATCCCAAAATCATCACAGAGTATTTACCTCTACAACAGTCAACGGCCTCAAAAACCAGTCAAATCCGCCTAAAGAACCCTAAAAACCATGTAATGACGCAATGTAATGATCTTGTTACTAATGTATGATGTAATTTTCACAGCCAAAAGTGATCAATGACGCAATGATTGAATGTACAGCACTTCTTAAGATGAATACAGGTGATTTTTTCCTTGTAAACTAGCTGCAAACCAATTTTTGAGATTACGAATTTTTTCAGAAGTGGTCCAATTTTGATCTACTATAGTGCATCTTGTAGCCCTCGTGATACTGATCATTTATGACACCCATATGACCTATTTCTGATGAGTGATGAGTAAGATATTGAGCTGTGAAGTTAAGGTTTTTGGTGTTACATGTTGACTTGTGACTGTAAATTCGAGATTCACACCAATTTCTTATTTGCCTTATAACTTTTTACATACACCTCTGTTACTAATGATTTAAAGTTTGTACATTTTGTAATCCACTCTTCTGCGTTGAATGAGCTATCTACCAACTTAATCTGACGTCATTTGACATATGTAATTAGCTGAAAACCTTCATTTTCCACAAAATTCACCCTTTTTCTTCACTTTTCACAGCTACTACTTTCTTTTTCTTGCTCATGTAATATGATATCATCTTCTATAACCTTAAAAATCCCGGAAAATCCTCTTGGCAACCTTAATTTCCACTACTACCACCATTACATATGTAAACTACACGCATAACCAACACCACCACCGCTCCGCCCAAAAAAGCGGCAGCGGAGCGGGCGCTCCGCCTGCGCTTCCCTTTTAGCCTTATAGCGGGGGTTGCGCTTTGCTATAACTATCTGTGAAATTGAATTTCACATAGCAAAATTTGATGCGCACTGCATAGTGATAATTTGCTGTGCTATGATGTGTCCTAGCGCCTCAGAGCGATATAATTGTCAAGCTCATGTCAAAATTTATCAAAACTTCATCTCCATTCCACATTACCCGATCCAAATCAAAAACAGGATACCAATTGAATTCAAACTAGAGAGAAATCATCTCAGACAAGAAAAGTATCATCAACTTCGCATCAAACAATAAAAGACCAATTCAATTGATCAAAACAATCAATCAAACCATACCTTGCAATCTTTAGAATTCAATCACCAATAGGATCAATTTTATCAATCTTATCATGTGCAACTTCAATCATTTTAGCATCAACTTCAATCTTATCATCACCAAGTCAATTAATATATCAATTAGGGATCTTCGGTTTAGGTGCATATGTAATGAGAGGAGCAGGTTGTACAATTAATGATCTTTGAGATCAAGAAATCGATTCACAAGTTAATAGAACTGAAAATAGACCATTACCTTCTGGTTCAATTACTATACCTAAAGCTATCACTTCGCTTGCTTTACAACTTAGTGTTGGTTTAGGTGTTTTACTTCAACTTAATCCTTATAGTATCCTTTTAGGTAGTTGTTCACTCTTTTTGGTCGTCATTCATCCTCTCATGAAACGCATCACTTATAGGCCTTGATTAGTATTCGGTAAGTTTTTAATCTTGTTCTTAAGAATTTGGATAAATTCACATTGTCTCCTTAATCTAATCTAGTATAAAATTCTTTCTCGATGTTTAGGATTTGAATTCAATTGGGGTGCTTTACTTGGTTCATCAGTAATTTTAGGAGCCACGGATTGAAAAGTATCATTACCACTTTATTTTGGACATGTCGCTTGGACCATCATTTATGATATGATTCATGCACATCAAGATAAAGAATTTGATTTAAAAGTAGGAGTCAAATCTACCGTGATTTTATCATTCAAGTTAAAGGGAAACCGTGTTCGCCGGCAAAACCTGATTAAACTCCCAATTCCTACTACCAATTTCCAGGTTTACACGTACAGCACATTTAACCTGATTTCCACGTGCCTCTCCCCTGATTTGGTCCTCATTCCTCTCATCAAATGAATTCTTCCTCACCTACCAATCTTCTCATGATCCTTCAACTTTCTATACATACCCGCCAGACCACTCAATCCAAGTGGTCATCTATCAATCCATTCCAACAAATTCATCAAAAAATTTAACAGAGCCAATCAACTTCAAACTTAAACTCAAACTCCAATGAAATTCATTCACTCTCATTCAATTTGGCAGATTATCAAAACCAACTTCAAATCAAATTCAATATACTTCACAAACAAGTTAAGTTACTGTGCAATCTTACTAAAACATTCCTCAAATGGCTCACTGATTCAAATATAATTGCAGTTTACAAATCCTTGGTTGGATTTGGTCAATTTTATAGATTCAATTAAACACTCTTCAAAACCTGCAAACAAAAAAAACCTACAAATCTTGATAAAGAACAACTTATAGAGTATGAATCTGATGACATGTTCAATTACGTACTGGATCTCAACTTTTTCAGAAGTCAATCGCTTTTTTAGAAGTTAATGGTTTTTGCCGGACGTACTCGCTTTTGCCGGATGAACTTGCTTGAAGCATTTTTCCAGATCCCCAACAGAATCAGATCAATCTCAGTTATCTGGTAACACAAAGTCATTTTATCCTTTTTCATTCTGGATTTGCCCTTTTTTAACATACGTCAAACCAAATCTGATGAACAAAAGTACGTTTTTTTATATGAAACTAGGTACCTAACATCCATCTCCTCTCATTAACCCAAGAATCAATAAATCATTAAAATTGAAACTCGCCACAAAGACGAGTCAATGAAAAACAAGTTGCTTTCGAAGGTCATCAAAGAGGCAATATGCTACCTCCACCTCCACCACCTGTTGCTGTCGGACGTGTGCCTCGGAGTCCTGGAAAATTTTCATCCACTGTCCAGAGGTCCAGATTTGCCTCAAGCCCTTCGGTCACGATCATGATGGAAAGTCCCTCCAACCGATCAGAATCGCCCAATGGACGAAGATCTAGAGACTCGGATAAGACCAGGCAACCCGATAGAGCTTACGAAAGGCACTCTTCAGCTAATACTGAGGGTGAGTGGAGTTGATTTCGCTTAATCTACTGTTGGTGCGGTCAATCAGAGTGTTAACATAATCTCCAACTCGTCTTTGAAGCTGTTCCCATCACGCCTTCGAGACGTGCAGGAAGTGTGAGCTTGAAGAAGCCCGGAATAACGCTTTATACCAACGAGGAGCGCAAAAAGAGGAAACGCATGGAAAGTGGAATCGCCTCGCCTAGCGTGGGCTGATTCTTTCGTGCAGAGTCTCATCTAGGATCATTGACTCCGTTGCTGAAAATCATGGGAGTGCGGTAGCTGACATTCCATCCAATATGTACAGCCTCGAAAAATGACCCTTCAACAACTTTTCTACGTTGATTCTGCCCCACAGTCTCCCCCTCGAAGGCCTCACTATTCTACCACCAATTCCAACCTTGGAATGATGGAAGCTTTGTCCCATTCAAGATTGACACCTCCACTTTTCCGAGATGAAGATTACGAAGTCAAAAGCGAGAACGAGGGGCAAGAGATGGCAAAAGGTCAGTGGTCTCCATTTGATTCATAGTATTAGACTTTCCCATTGACGCTTGAGATCATGAAAAGAGTAGAATCACATCAGCGATTGAAAGTCTATGGGATGAAATGGAAGTCATACGTGATTGGCAATTGATTATTTGTCTTCAACTTCATCTTCATCTACAAATCAAGATCATCATCATCATCTCAATCAATCCGGCCTTCATCATCAAAACCAACCAACAACAACCAACAACGACCAACAACAACCAACAAAAACCAACAACAACCAACAACAGCCAACAGAAACCCATATTCTTCATTACCACATGATATCTTTAGTATCACTGATGGAGAACTTGCTGCACAATATATATACTGTTAGTGTTGATCTATCTCTCTGTGTCCAAAAATGAGTACTCACCTTTTTTTATTACCAGTTTGAAATCAAAATCGGCTATGGGAATTGGGGTTCAATTTGATTTGGTGCATCTCATCTAATCCTTCTTTGAATGTAAATCAAACATGGTTAACAAAACTTTAGCCATTAGATCACTTCATTGTGGTAAAACTTCAAATGCAACTAACACTTGTGTCAAATGTTTATGGGGTGAATCCAAGTTGAGTTTTTTCCCACTTTTCTAGACCTAGATCAAGCCTTGAGAATATCGTTTGGTCATTTTAATTAATTGTTTTTCATTTTTTTGTATGACACTACATAGATTTCAATCCAATCCATCACCTAATGTTATTAGGATCTTATCATTTATCATTACCCCTTTTTATACACTTCTTACTACGACTTTTCATCCTAATCGATTACCCGTCTGATCAACTGAAGTGAATCGTACTTTACCTTACTTACGTGGTCTACTTTCGGCTATTGAATTTTTACATCGTCGTCATATTACTCATAATGATGTTAAACCAGCTAATGTGGTTTAGTGAACAACATCAACCTGTTTTCATTTACTGATACGTGGTCTTTAGGTATTACTATGTCTGCAGTTGTTGTAGGCCGTACACCATTTGAATCCGATGATTATGAGGAATGCTTAACTAAAGAAGCATCACAAGTTTACTATGAAAGGTTCATATCCTTGCCCTCTCCTTCCAACATCCATATGGCATCACGGTTAGTTCAATTCTTGGCATATCTTTCTTTTGGAATCGTTATATTCACAGAACTCTAACTGGTGAATTCTTACGAGTACATCACCTTTTGAAACCCTTGAAGGACCTGCTAAAGTCAATGATTCAACCTGGTCCCAAGAGAAGGCTTACATCTTGTGCAAATGGAGTCCTTCATCTGCTTTTTGAATCATATAGCTCACCCCTTAACTCACGCCATTTGGTCATCTGATCATCGATTCAAGATTCTCTCAAAACGTTTGAAACTAAACAAGGTGTTCCAACTCCAATCAACAAACCTATTCAACAACTAGCTCCAAACAGCAAAATCAAACCAGAAACTACTTTGCCTATCAAAGTACTCGCGATCAACCTGAAAGTAATACTAAGACACCTCAAAAGAAGAATAGTTTATCTTCACACGTTCTGACACCACAATGCCAAAACACACCACCTGGCTCTATGAATCACGATCGCTAAAAGAGTCCCTGTACTATATAGTTGACTTCATCCACATCAACAACAACAAGAGAATTTGATGACTGGAAGAACACCTACTAATAAGTTCAATGTGTTGGAGGACAAAACCACATGACCAATGATGATAAAAGATGATATGAAAAGAGGAGAAGAGGAGGAAGTGTATGAACCATTAAAGTCTACTACTGGTCTGGATAATGAATCAATGAAAAAGGATCATCCTGCTAATCAATCTTCTGATCATGAATCAAATCTTAGACTAAAAGCTTGACTTTTGCATCAAAGTATTGGATTTAATGCTACTACTACTGCTACCACTATGACATAAATGAAAAGTCCAAGAAAACCACCACTTACTCAATGTCCTATCAATGTGAGACCAAATATAGCAGGAGCTGATATGAAAATTCAAACCAAGGTCGTTTAAGTCATAGACCTAGATCAGTGATTGGACAACATGGATTTGAGAAGAATGAAGCGAGTGCTGAACCTCAGGAATTAATCAAAGAACATCAAATGGATATTACAAGTGATAATAAGAAACCATTAGGATTAATTGGAAGTCCTAGGGTTGAAGAAGAAAGGAAGGTAGCAGAGGTTGATTCAGGTTGTGGAGATTCTACAAATCATTCATATTCAAGAGTGGTACTCTTGTTGAGAATTCATCAATTAATAATCTTAAAACAAATAGGATAAGTTTATCTATCAGTTCTAATAATCTTGAAGGAAGTCAAAGTCCAATGAAGAAAAAAGAAGGAGTTCAAAGTAAGATTTCAATGATCCAAAATAGGACAAGAACTAATGATGTTAGTTAATTCATCTACTAATAGATGTATTCTAGAATCTAATGCTCAAAAGAATTTAATAATCTCAGTTTCTTTGAATGCTACTTTGGATACTACTAGAAGAAGAACTGAGATGGTGATAAAGATATCCCCAGATATGGTATGTTGTCATTAAGGAAACATAATTGCACACTTCCTGAAAGATATTTAGGTGCTGCTGGTCTGCCTTGCAATACTCAATCTGGATATGGTGGTAATACCATGCGGCAGCATGATATTGAGGGATAACATTTTTTCTTTTTTTTGTTTTGACCCTAAGGAACATTTGATTAGAAGAAGCTTAAAAGAAGTTGCAATTGCTGAAAGTTTGAAATTGAAATCAATAAGGCTTTGAGTAAGAAATTGCCTGGAAACAAGCAGAAACTTTGCTATGGAATGTATGTGTCATATAAGATTTGGTTCTGTATCAATGTTGGACCAGCAGCGCTTTTCTACGTTGCGGGGTAAGAAAGCAACAGCGGAGCGAAAATGCGCTATGGGAATCTGGGACATCGCGTAGCCCAGCTTTGAACAGCTACGCCAACAGCTAGAGCAAAGCAGTATTTTGCTGCTCGGAATCTCAGGTTGTCACAGCGTATAGCCATGAAGCAACCGCTACGCTGCTACAGCGTTGTAAGCGGTAGAAAAAAAAAATTACATCAAAAATATCGTATAACAAATCTATTAGTGGTTGTATTTAGAGATAAAAGTGATAGATAGAAACTTTCATAAGGAATTAATGATGATATGTATGATGGGAGTAATTAATGATTGGAATGTATCAAAAGATTGTAAGAGAAATAAAAAATAAAAAAACAAACAGAGTGATAAAGTTTCAGCAGCTACTTCGATTCACCAGAAGCCCCGTGCACCAGATAATATTCCTTAAGATATGGTTTGTACTCATCCCTTTGAGATGCCTGCATTACTTTGATAAACTCATCACCTAATGGGACACCTTCGCGTTCCCAAAGCGCACTTGAGACTTGCCGTTCAATCACAATAGGCATCAGCCTTCCTCGTTCTGCTCTGCACACATCACCTGCCACATTGAAGCTCCTCTTGGGCTCGGCAGATGCACCTGAACACGACAGGTAATCCTTGGCCATTTGGGCGATGACAGGATATCGGTTTGCATGAGCCTAAGGGAAAGATCAGATCATTCATGAGAAGATGAACCACATCTTATTTATGATTTGAATAAGTAATGAATTACTCACGTTCCACCACGCCAAAGCTGAGTTTGGATCTGATATATCATAATTGCTGTCCTTCATGTGATCACTACCACGCAGGTAGTCACTCAGTTGATTGTCATTGGCCACGTCGTCTTCTTCGCCGTCACTGTAGACTGTGTAGATTGAAGCTTTGGGTTCAGACATCATTGTGGTGTTGGACTCGGCGCGATTTGGTTTGGCGTTGTTTGGGGTTTGACTTTGATATCTCCTAAATTCCTTACCAAAGGAAGCTTCTGCATTGATTGAGGTGCTTGATGTTTTGCCAAAGAAAGTGTGAAAAAAGCGTAGTCGAAAAGCAGGATGGAGCATGCAAGCCATGATCAAGGTCTCGCAAGAAAGAGCTTCATCCAAAAGACTCTGCGTCTTTTCAAGCATAGCCGCAATCATTGGATACAAAGCGTTGTTAGAATCCAGCTTGTCCGAACGGTCTTGTAACGTTTTGCGCATTTCGATGTATTCCGGAATGACGATGGAACCTGTTGGCTTCTGTCCCTCCATACGTTTAGTTGCATCCAGAAAGCGCTGTCAAACATTCATCAGTATCAAGTAACAGAGTCTGGAAAGTATCGATTATGAAAAGGATATTTGGTTACCTTCAACTCAGCATTAAGATTTTTCACTTGCACCCATTCTCCAGGAGTTATGGTCAACTCATGGAAATAGCCATGTGGCTTCCCATTCTTGCGCGGTCGACGGTTTGTTGCGTGCACTCAAGCCAGGTCATCCTTCAGCAGCTGATCGATAACCTTGATAACGTGGTCAGCACAAATTTTCGTTAGATGTCAATCATTACAGATCAGGAGTTATAGATATGGATAATGAAATGATTACCTCTCGGGCCTTCCAGGCTTTTTCTCGACTAATGTACTTAATATTCCATCGTATTCCGTAGGCTGCAATCAATGTCTCTAATTGAAGACCCTTACTCTTCATGATGCGATCAAACTCCTTGCGCCAAGGTGCTGACCGCGTGATGTGTCTTAGAATGAAATCAACCTATCGAGAATGTAGTTTAGTGATGTAACACATAACTGAGCCTCAGAAATGGATATAACATACCTTAGCTAGGAGAGCGTCAAGCTTGTTAGCTTCTTGTCGATGTGTTGGCTGTGCTGCTTCATCAGTAGGAACTGAGCTGGGTGCAAGGTGATCGTCATCGTCGGCAGATTCACAATCGTCTTCATCATCATCTACAGGTTCAACCACAACCATGTCATCATCTTGTTCTTCTCTATCCACAACCGCCTGTAAGTCAGTTTCAATGTCGGAATCATCGGCGTCAATCACTAGTGCATCTGGAACCTCGGTTACCGATCCATTGTTGTCCAGGGAATCTTCTTCTTCCTCTTCGATAATTGAGGAGTTGATTTTGGGAAATCGACCTAATGACTTCCTTGGTGGAGGGGTTTTGAGCCCAAGCGCATTCAAACCAACCCCCACTATCAGCGCCATTTTGTGGCAAAAGCAGAAAATGTGCATCTGGTGAGGATCCCAGGTGTAGTCGACAAGGTTGGGTTGCTTAAGGAATTGCTTGTGCATTTCGCGTGCCATGGTCAAGTTATTTGATCCTGAATCGGTGGTCTGACAGAGGAGGTGGATATTGTATCAAGGTAAGTTGAAATATTCCATATATTATAACGTAGAAAAATGAGAATTGACTTATCGGGATCCTCTAGAGTACCGCAGCATGCAGCTGCCTGCCTTGGCAGGGTCGCGAGCCTTTTTTTTGTGCTCCCACACAACTAGTTTGAGAGTCAGGTGTCGAGTAATAAAGCGCCACTTGTCATCGATAAATGTGACTGCTGCACCTATGAAACAGTGCCGATTGCCTTTCGAAGTCCAAACGTCTTGCTGTAGGCTAAACTTGCTCGACAGGCCCTGAATAAGAGAAAAAACTTGTCAGTCAGAATAGGCGGAACAGTGAAATGAAGAGGATAGGAAGAGAAATTTAGAGACAGGTATTCAGTTACCTTCAACTCATTAAACACCACTTTCTTCATTGACAAATTGAGCCTTTTCGATTCATTGGCGGCCCACTTTCGACCATACAATCGCGCCTCAGGTCGAAGGTACGTCATTGATGACCTTAGCCAAATGTCGGTCATTCGATTCCACGGGAGTCGTCGTGTAGTGACCCAAAGACACATCATCTGGTTAAAGACAAGGTTGTCAAATTTGATTCTAGGACCTACAGTGACAAAGGACGACAGAGAGGCTTTGTTGTTCTTGTCAGAAGCTTTGGCACGCGCTATTTTGTCCAGCGATGGAGGAACTTCAAGTCCGGATTTGTGAGCTTTGTTGCGACCGGGACAGCCGGTTTTGGATTGACCATCTTGTGGGTGTCCGTCTCGGTGAGTCTTGAGGTTATTCTTGAGGTTACTGCGACTGACACGTACTTGAGTTGGCTTATTGGGATCGGTGGCACACCAAGAGCAAGGGTACAATAACGGAGGTTTGGTCAAGTCCTAATGTAATTATCGAACAAGATAAAATAGAAAGTATAAAAGAGGAAAAATAAGGAAAGGAACATCAGAATGCATCATAGAACAGTTTGATGCGAATGTTGATTGACTTACATCACCCTCTTTGTGATAAGGTTCGCCAAAGCACTGCAGACATTATTCGGGTTCCCCAAGTGGGCAGGGAAAAATGATTGGGAGTATGATTTGTCATAAAATGGTCTATCACTCCACACCTGAGCCATAACACCCACACTACATATGTGTAGCAGGCTCAGTGAATATGTGGTTATCATGTACATACAGTTCTGCTCAGTTATCTGCTCATCAGGACAAGTTATTCATATGTAATACATGCTGTAACTTCTTTCAGATTGAAAAAAGCTTCCAAAAGATTGACTACATACACTGACTCAATGTTTTGGTGTGATCTCATCAACTCAACTGCATGTAACACACTTTCTGTTACTAAGACATAG